GTGTCAGGCTTAATTGTAGAAAAGACAATTGATGGTGCATCCATAAGAAGTGTCAATATTACCCATAGTGTCAGATTCATTTGTTGGTACAAGCTGATACAGAATTTTTATGATGAATAAAAGAATGAGATCAGATACCCAAACGTTAAGAAGTTACAGTTACCAGATTTTTTGAGCAGATTTTTTGATTTTTCAGCATTGACTGTTCTGGTGTGCATGAGTGTGTGTGTGTGTGTTTTTTTTTTTTACTGCCGGCAAATGTGACAGACTATGTGGCTGTGATCCTTACAGACGGGGAAACATATCCGACAAAGTCTCTATTTTTCTCCTAGATTTCTGGGCAGGTTTTACATCTCTTCCCTTTTCACTGGGTCTCTACTTTTCATACATTCCGGGCTTTAAGTGACTGAAAAGGAAAAACATTTTTAGCTCTACATTATCTACTAGCAGTTATTTCTACATTATAATAGCCTGATAATGAAGAATAAAGTTTGAAATTCATGAAAAGTAAAATAATTTTTAAATGTTCAATGGCATCATCTACATTTAATACCAATACTGCAATGTATTTGCCATGTCAACAGACTTTGTTTATTCACTAAACCTCCACATGGTCCTTTTCATTGAAAGAGGCACATCCTACTACACTGTCACACACACTGAACTCTACAGCTATTAAGAGGTACATTGCACTTGATCTCCCAAAAGAACTGCTTCTTTATTGTTGACCACAACAACTCTGCATTGTTGAACACAAAGTACCAAAAGAGTTTGGTTCAAAGTCAGCCACACTTTCAGATACATAAACTAGGTCAACTCCAAGGCATGCAAAAAACAGCTTTCAAACAGCATTCTTGAATTCTTCTTTTACATTTGAAGATTATAGTGGTCTATAATCATTAAACATACTCTAGCCAGGTTTATAATTGCTGCACTTAGATGATATTAAGCTTCAGAGTGGATTTCAACAGTATCATTTGCATTTTACAGTAATGGCATGAGAAGTAGGTGTGAACAGTATTATGTAAAACCTTAAAAATGTCAAGGAAAAGACAAGCTTGAGAACTCTTACAATAAATGGACAACTGTAATTTGGTTATTATCTTTGTGCTACCTTCTCCACTCACAGAATCAATCTTTTCAACTCTCATTAAGGTCTGCTCTACTTAAAGGCCAGTCCACTATTTCAGCTGGCTTTCACATAGAAATTGTTCAGTGTTTTATTCAGTGTATTGGGCACCACTCATATATACAGCATCTGCCCTGGCTTTTGTTTTTTTACAGTTTGGTCTCTCTTCCTTACCGGTACATTTTGTGACACAGGAGGCTCCTGGTGACTGCAGTCATCTCCGTCCTGCTGAGCTTGCCCTGCTGCAACCCCAGGTGAAGGAGGCCTGGAAGGTTCCCCGAGCGAGGGGTGCGGGTGTGGTGGGTGGCTCAGTGCTGCGACCCTCTTTGCCTGCCGCCGCGCCGCCAAAAGTATCCTACAGTAGGTGAAGCAAATGGCGCTAGAAGGCAAAAAGAATGTGAGCACAGATGCCACCAGGGCAAAGGGCAGGGTGACCTGCAGGCGGCACTGAAAGGAAAGGCCTCCTGATGGTGACAGCTGAAAGTAGGATTCTGGGTACAGTGTGTCAGAGTAAGAACTGATGTTGCTACTGCTGATCCCAGGAACTGATGAGTGTCCACTCCAGTGGCCTAAGCTGTGCCATTTCATCTCAATGGGCAGGAAGGAAGTCAATGCTGCCAACCCCCAAGCAGCTCCTACCAGGAGCAACGCCCGAGGTGGGGTCATCCTCTGCTTGTAGCGCAGCGGCGAGATGATGAAGATGTAACGGTCCAGGCTGATCACACACAGGTTGAGGATGGACGCGCTGCAGCACATGACGTCAAAGCACAGCCAAATCGGGCAAAAAGCGGGCCATAGCACCCAGGCCCCACACAGCACGTTGAGCATGGCTGGTGGCATGACCACCAGTGCCACCATAAGGTCAGACAGGAACAGAGACACCAGGAAGCAGTTTGAGGTGCAACGCAAAGAGCGATGGGCAAACACCAAAGCGATAAGCAACATGTTGCCACAGACTGTCATGAGGATGATGACAGTCAGCATGAAGGCCAACAACCACGGGCCACTGCCAGTGATGTTCCAGGCGCCGGTGGTGGGAGAGCTGCTGTTGTAGCTTCCTACAGAGCCGGAAAAGTGAGAGTCAGCCATGGTGGCAACAATCGACAGACCAGCTCCCAAAGGTTCCTCTTCTGGCACCACTAAATTTTACAGACCTTCACCAGTTCTCCTTTGCAGCTAAAGCTCTCACTTTAGGGACATTGTTGAACAAAAAGAAGCCACTGAGGTCTTGTGTTGAGAAGCCATCCAACCCTCTCCCCGTCAAGGTTAACCGGACTGTTCTCCATGGGTTAATATCTCCATCTCCCTTTGGCCGGAATACATCCACGTGCCCTGGGCTTACTTCCACTGCCTCTAGTTTAGTGATCAAAATCACCAACACAGTTTCACTCATCTCTCCATCCTGGCCGGCATGTCCCTGCCTCATCCACAGCTAAGAGCCAGAATGAGCCATTGGATGGCTGACAGAGGGTTTTCGAAGCTGCATGTCACAATGATGACAGCCACTGGAGGAGGGCTCAGAGAGAGAGAAGCTCGACTAGGCATACGAGAGCTGTGCCGGTGAGAGGAGCTACTGAAGATGCAGAACACAAGGACCCATTCTCAGAATTACACCTCACCTCACAGAAGTGGAATTGTACAGCTTCCGAAGGTCCTTCGCTGAGCTGGGGCTCTGCTGCCTTTCACAAGTCCTTTTATTCTGCGGAACAGCGTAGGGGAGCAGAAACCAGCACAAAATTGTGCAGCAGTCATTTATAAGCAAGGCTCCGTTCATAAGTGCTCTACAGGTATCATGGTCCTTGTAACGCTGCCTTTATATCCCCCGCTCCTGTTAATCCCTGTGTCGGCCACTCCAGCGCGCCTCCCAGCCAGAGCGCACAGCTTCTCAGAAGGAGCGTGTCAAAGCATTGAGCTGTTAATGCATAACCATGCACAATCACAGCCAAGTAATGCTAATTCTACATCATAGGAACTGGTGTGGGTGGTCTTTTTCCATGTTTGGTTGTGGTGTGTTTTTAACTACTGAGGTACAATTATTGAAGCATTTTTGTCAGACATTATACATACACTGTGTTCCAAATTATTATGCACATACTGTTTTTGTTTTTTTCCCCTAAATAGTCTATATAATTGGC